AATAAGTTGTGATCACATCCATTAAATGCATACATATGAATTTTTTCATATATTTTGCCAAGCTAACTAGATAACAAAATATAATTATATCCATTATAGAAGAATATGTCTCTTCATCCTCAATGTCAAGTCTTTACGAAAACTCTTATATTAAAAGTATTGCTTTGTATCTTACAATCTCATCTTCCTTATTTCATTTTTGTATAAATACACATTTGTATCCTACTTGCTTAATATCTTTAGGTTTTTTTATTATGAGTTCAAAAACCACTCATTTATAAGAGAGAATAATTCTCGCTTGGATTGCTCTTTTCATTGAGGTCAATCATCTTTTTATTGACATTCTTCACTAAATTTAGGATCGGGATCATTATTTTCATTCAAAATATCAATTACAAAAATCTTATCAATAAATATTTCTTTTTCGGTCCTATTTTCTCCCTCTATTGACATAATTTATCAAATTCACTTGATTTTTCTTAAGCATTTGGACTTCTTCTAGAAGCTCTGTTTTCATAAATATTTTGGACCATTTTATGAATATTTACATCCTTTATATTTTTATTTTAATTATTTTCCCTTTTTTTCTAGGAATTTTTTCTTTTAGAACCGATCGATTTTCCACACTTCGGGTGTGCTTTAGATTCATTTGTTATAATATTAATAGATTGTCTTTATATGAGATCAATTCTAATAGGAGCATTCTCGGCGAGCACATGCATTTTGGTTACTCATTTAAGATCCGAGAATACATGAGACAATTGATTTGTAATATCTTATAAATGAATTATCTTTTGAACTTTTAGTTCACATTATTTTATATAAAAATAAAGATGATGTAAGATAGAGTACTCCATGTAATAATTTTTTTCAATAGATTGTCCTTCTAAAAGCTTAATATCATAAATATCTTGGACCATTTTATGAATATTTGCATCATTTATATTTATATTTTTATTATTTTCTCTTTTTTTTAAAGAATTTATTCTTTTAGAACAAATCGATCTTCTACGCTTCGGACATGTTTTAGATTTATTCGTTATAATATTAATAGATTGTCCTTCTAGGACATCAATTCTAATATGAGCATTCTCGGTGAGCACATGTATTTTGGTTACTAATTTAAGATCCGAGAATGCATTCGACATTAGATTTACAATACCTTGTAAATGAATTATCTTTTGAATTTTTAGTTCACATTATTTTGTACAAGGATCAAGATGATATAAGATAGAGTACTCAATGTAATATTTTTTTTAATATTTTCAATTGCTTAATTTTCTTATTCTCTCTCTCTAATGTTGGAAAAACGGTTTCATCAAAATGACGAGTCAATAAATCGAATTATAAAAATATCTCTTGTTCAAGCTTCAAGATATTGAATTATCGAAGAGGATTCAAATTCAATATTCTCAATTTTCTTTAAGTGCCTATTTTAGTTCATTATGGAGGAGCACTATGGATATAAACAAATATATATTGCAATGCCAAAACATTTTAAATAAGAAATATTTAGCCCATGACCATAAACTAATTGAAGGGGAGAGAATTTATGATAACTTATGGATCCGATGTGAATAAGTGTTGCCACATGTAAAATTGCATATCCCTAAACATAAATAGAGAGTTTTATTTTTAATTAATGGTTTAGCTATCAATTGAGCCTTTTGATAATTGATTTTACTAAACCTTTCTAAGTATGAACATGAGCAACATGATGTTCAATCTTTATTCTAATAGCCATTTAATAATCATTTAAAGCTTAAAAGATAAATTCACCGACATTATCAATATGAATTTTTTTAGTTGCATAATTTAGAAATTATGCTTTTAATTGAATTATTTAGGCTGAAAATATTGAAATATCAAGTTTTGAGTAAATAATAGATATATATATACATATAACCATTTTATAGATGCATCTATTAAAATCATAAAATATCTAAATGGTCCACATGGTGGATGAATTGATCCACATATATCACCTCGAACACATTCTAAAAATACTCAATATTCAATCTCAAATTTACTTGGTGATGGTTTAATAAATCAATTTTCTTTGAGAACATGTAGAACATGAAAATTCATTAAATTGAAGAATCTTCTAGCTTTTCAATAGATGTCCATATGAATTTTTAATAATTTTTTTGCATCATGAAAGACGCAGGATAAAACAATTGATCATGCCACATAATAAAAGTATTTGAATTAATAAACTTTTGGTTTACAACTACATCTATTTCAATCATTCAAATATTTGTAATAAATACCAAAAGAGAAAGCGAGTATATTTTTCAATATATATTTTCTACCTAATATAATAATTATAATATATAAGTATTTAATACTTTCCACATTTGTTGTCTTGATTTGATATCAATTTAGAAGAATATATTTGGAACTCAATAATTTTTTATGAGATTTTAGAAAGAATAATACATCATTTATAATAAAAATTATCCTTTCGGATAATAACAAATTTGCCCTTCCGGAGCCTTTAAATTATATCACTTTAAGTAATAATAAATTCGCTCTTCAAGATCCTTTAAAAGTTATCTCTTCAAGTAATAATATATTTGCTCTTCTAGAACTTAAAAAATTTATCTCTTCGAGCAATAATATAATCGCTCTTCTAGAACTTTACGTTAAATTGATATTATTAGATAAAATATTAACATAAAATAAATAAACAAATTCTTCATAAACACACACGCACGTGCACGCACACACACACGATATATATATATATATATAGTGAAATAAATTTATAACTATCTCTATGCAATAGAAATTATAAGAAAATATAAAGCATCCTATTTATAAATAAAACTAACAAGTTATTAATTTTAATTACCTCCATTTTAATATATAAAATTGGCCTCTATATTTTACTATTTTCTTTTTCAACGAGGCTTGATAAGAATCAATGAGGTACTTTGGTATACGACGAGTACGCGATCAATGTCCATTCATGTTACATCTATAACATTCATTTTAAAATACTAACTTGATCCATTTTTATTCTATTCTCTTTTTTTCATAGTTTATCCATTTTTAATGATGAAGTGTATTATTATGGTCATCACGATTATAACGATAATTATTCTAATAACATTCATGGCTATGTTCACATCTTCGTCCATGGCCAAAATTATTATAAGTTGTCTCATTTAATTCGGGGAATGGAGTAGATCTAGTTGGGCAGGATTTATTATTTTTCATCAATAGCTCATTATTTTATTTAGCCACGAGCAAACATGAAATCGATTCAGAATATTTCTTAAAATCTTTTCTCGATATTGCTATTGTAGTAGCATATTCGAATAGTGAAAAGTAGAGAATATTTACTCAACATCAAGTAATTATGATAAATAATTCTTGTCTAAAATGTCACGGGTCACAAAATTAAATTTTTTGATGTTTGATATGATAAAAATGTTATAATGTAAAGTGTAATAATAATAATATTAGGAAATAAGAGCAAAATATAATAATAAAATAAAAACAAACATAATAATAAAATTTAAACTTTTCAAACAATATTTAATAGATCATTAGATTCTATACATTCAATTATTTAAGTTTTTCAAATTTATATTCTATGTATCATTAGATTTAAAATACATAATAAATTAGATACATACCTCTTCATAATCTTAATAATTTATATCTTTTAGTAGAGCACTTATGTAGAAAAACTTCCATTTTTGAAACAAATGACTAAGTCTATTGGTAGATACATGCCTCATGATTTATTATCTTGATTTGTTAGAGCTTCATGCTGATAACGTATTATAAAAGAAATAGAAATAATAATAGAATTGAAGAGAAAGATGATAGAAAAATGAATTCATTATAAGATAAAGTGAATGTAAGAGAACAACTTCAAATAATCTCTCAATCTCTACAAAATACTTGTACACAAACTAATGAACAATTAAACCTATTTATAGGCTTCAAGATTAGGAAGAGAATTGAAATAGATTATAAACCATTAAAAGATACATAAATAATTGAATAAATTGTATTACGTTTTTAATTTCTCATATTGAATTGTAAATTGAATCACATGAGTAGTGGGAATATGAAATGCTCATGGACATTCATTATTTCATAATATTCATCAATTTAATGTCTAATTAACTAACTTATTTTTTCCATAACATCAAGTTAAAGTGTATTCAAATTCGGTGAACTGTTGACTCGAGTTAATTAAAAAATTGAACTAGATTTTTGTAAATGGACCGGCAGCAACATACAAGCCCACTTACAAGTGTGTGTGTGTGTCTGTGTGTGACTATACGTGGTTATTTATTTTAAATATAGGCCCACTTACTTGTGTCTGTGCGATTCTTATTTCCATCCCTAAAACCAACCCTGCTCAGACTGGTTTGGTTTTACTTTTAACCCCCTTGACCACGTATTTAGGGAGCATGTGTTTGCGTAAAACCATTTACAACTGTAAAATGTTTTCCCCATAAAAAAAATTTACACAAAAATAAACTACCATATTCAATAAATAATGATTTGAAAAACACAACAATAGTAAAATAATGATGGTGATTTACTATAGTTCTAGCAGTGATCGTAGTTGTAGAGGTAGTGACCGTAATTGAAATACTACCAACATAAAACGCCTATTGAATCGTAAAATGACGGTAGTGGTTGAAATTGTACAAATTATCAATATAAAATATTATGAACAAAACGCCTAATGTAACTGCATTTATGCTAGCTTTGTTTTGCAGATATAGAGATACAAATAAATGACGATGGTTAATACCGGATTCAGATGTGAATTTTTCTTTTATCTTCTATTCACATATATAATTTGATAAGGTTACAAAAAGTCATTTTCCTCATTATCTACACATTCTCTGAAATGCCCCCAAAGGCCAAAAAATTGCATTTACAGTAGAAAAATGAAAGGGGGAAAGATGCCAATTCATGCAGTGACCTGTTTTTCTTTTCTTTTATTTTTGGTGAACTGAATACAGTAATCATCTGATATGGGAACATCTTTTCAGCTCTCCTTTGTGCTCTTTGTACTTGATATCTTTCTTTGACACATTTAAAATGCCTGATTGCTCTTCAACCTTCTCAACAAGAAGCTTCAGCAGCGGGACCTTTGAAAGGGTTTTGCACGACCCCACTAAGATCAATTTTTTCTGCGGATTCAAAACAACACATACAAATATTATATCGTGAGACTTTACTGCAAAATACTCAACTCGACTTGACATTTAGAATGCTCATCCTCGTTATTATTATTATTTCTTCTTTCCGCTCTAACATATTTGATGACAATAATGCATCAATTGCTTTTCATGCAAAGCACACATACACATCCAGATTAACTGCTAGAACAGGAAATACTAGTATAATAAAGAGCATTTATGCTGCCAACCTTGGCTCGTGTGAGCGCCACATTAATCCTATGCCAGTCTCCAAGCAATGAAGAAGTACAATTTCTTGGATTTTCACTGGACCTGACAAAGGATACCAGTATGCATTCCTTATCTCTTCCCTGAACAAACAAAACAGACCCTATAAGAGACACAAAATAGAAAAGGAAAAGAAAAAAAGGTGAACAGTTATTCATTTGTCCAGTAAAATGAAACCCATAACGAGATCTGTCTCAATTTATGACAAGGTATCATCTATGTGACATAGAAAAAGATGAGGGATAATGCTTTAGTTTTTGTAAGATATGATTCATCCAAACCTGGTATTTGTCAATGGTATGAATCTCCACAGAGGTTATGTTAACAGCAGATCGGATGAGATTTGCCTGGGAATTATAAGGGGTGATAATGCCAATATCTTCACCTACAATCCCATTACTAATTAATTCCTTTGTGACCTATATCAAAGGTAAAAAGAAAAGGAATGAATAAATACTGTTCATTATAGCCACACCAATTATATTGCCTGCAAAACAAAATAACTCACAGCAAAGCAAAATCATAGATTACAAATGCACTTTACATCATTTCCTGGGCAGATAATACCTCGGCAATTATGTAAGCTTCAGTTGGGTTATTCACAGTTTTGGAGTCCTTCGCCTCAAAAGCTGGTAACATATCTAAAGTTTAAGAAAATAACTTTAGATGTGACGGTTGAAAAAAGTGGAGCCACGTGAAAGAAACCTGCTTTCAATAGCAAATACAGAAGAGGGTTGAAAATTTTTCACACACCTGTGTTAATAAATATGACGGGTCTGCCAGGATTCAAAACCTGCAACCATTAATAAAACATGCAATTTTAAATCAACATCAATTTCAAACACAATCAGACAAGGTTTTGAGGTTTACTTTAAACCAACTTCTACCATATCATCCATGGGAAGAGCATGGTGATCTTAAAAATTTAGATTAGAAGGAAATGCATTCAATCAGATCTTTAAATAAATAAATAGTATTTCTTTGAATGTGCATGGTCTAAGCTAGAAGACCCATCAACTTGCTTAGACAACCTAGATAAGCCCAAATCTTAGACAGGCGTAGGCAGACATGGACAGGCCTGAATGCAGCCATACAACGTTGGACATCCCTTTAAGAGCATGCCCTAACAATGTATGCATAAGCAATCCATAAGCGGTTATTTAGAAACACAAATGACTTAGATATCAGAACTGTAATGTCCTCAGATGCTAAATGCCTGCTCTGGGAAAAACCATATGGTTTCCAAGTTTCAACAATTATATAAAATAAAAATGCGAGTCATTCATGCACAAAGATATCAGCTACAAAAAAACAAGAGACACTGTGTACCTCCTTTAACCACGACGAACAAGACTGTAAACTTGAAAATTTAAGCCTGGCATTTGCTATTTCAGAAGAACCACAACGCAGTCTGTCACCATATATCAATGCATTTGAAAGTTCCATGATATCTTGACACATGCGGTACTGCATAAGAACCAAACTTCATGAATTGATCTATTACAAGAATCAAAAGAAAAGGAAATCAATTCTGAAGTTAAAGAAACCTGGCTTTGCAAAGCTGAAATTGCTTGAGGATGTGCCTCAGAAAGCCAACAAAACAAACTTATCCCCATTCCATTCTCACGAGCCTCTGTACTCTAGAAAGTTATGCATAATAGTTTCAATGAAATTAAAGCCAAGGATAAAGAAATTTAAACATTGGAATCTAAGAAAACTTTATACCTGGACAAGCGGAGGCAATTGATAGTGATCACCAACAAGAACAAACTTTGAAGCAAACATCAGGGGTCCCAGAGCTATCTGAAAGGACAGAAGTTATTCATTAACCTAAAGTCTAGACCTCTGCTCTTCATTAACTCTCACACAAACTACTATCTCCTCCCTAGAAGGTTAATTGATTCACACCAACCAAAAAGGTGTTAATTTAAGCAAATCTATAGGCAAATATTTGAATCTTTAAAATATATATAATAAAGTCATTGTTGCAAATCTCTCAACTAACTGATTCATGCTACAGAAGACAGGCACATCTATAAAATTTCTTGACAACAAAAAAGGAAATAACAAGAATCACCTCATACATTCCACGAATGTCAAAGGATCATCTCAACCCAACAGCTTAAGCTATTGGGTGAGATCCCAAGATATGATTTATATGACTCTCTAACACACTCCTTCATGTGAAAGCCCCTTGAGTTTGAAACTTGCACAAATCCACACTACCTTGTGCTTAATTAATTAGAAGAGAATTGAAGGGTGATGAGAGTTGAACTCATGACCACTTGGTCAACAAGGCTTTGATACCATATCAAAAGACCATCTCAACCCAATAGCTTAAATTATTAAGTGAGGTCTCGAGATATGATTTATATGACTCTCTAACACTATTGAGCTGAGATAGTCCTTTAACATGGTATCAGAACCTTACTAACGTAACAATCAAGAGTTCGAATCCTACCACCCCCACTTTCTCATGTGCAAGTTTCAAGCCGAAAGGGCTTTCTTTTGAGGGGGGTGTTAAAGAATAATATAAATCATATCCCGGGACCTTACCTAATGGCTTAAGCTTATGGTCCTTTGACAACCAAGACTACAGGCATTAGAAGAATCAACTACATTTAGAAATCCAGTCAGGAAAAGTATACATTCAAAACTAAGACTACAAACATTAGGAACACTTGTAAATATTAGATGCAATCAAGAACACCGACAAGAAAGAATACATACTGGGAGGGTAATTTGTCCAGCTTCATCCATAATGCATACATCAAATGTCTTGTTGGCAAGCAAGGGACTAAAAATTCCCAAGCAGGTTACTGCAACAACCTTGACTTGCTCTAATCTTATTCTAATGTCTTCTACACTATGTATATCCATTGCTGTCATAAGAACCATGGTTAGAAATGGAAGAAAAATCAACTGTTATGTTGAAAAAACAGAAGAAAAATTAACTCACCCGAAAAGCAATTGGCCTGGACATCCTCATGGACAACTCCATCTCTTCCAATTCGTAGAAAATCAATACCCTGCACCTTATTTATTTATTGATTGATTGATTTTCAGTAATGTGACAGAAGAGAAATAGTGATTCGCTGTGAAACAAAGATGCTATAACTATATCCTACAACCGTAGAGATGCTTAAAAGCATAACACGATGTTCGAGTCCACCAGAACATCACTTATCCTACGACTGGAAAGCTTTTAAACAACATATTGTACACCTTGGTACCTAATGTTTGGACATGATAAAAGAAGATGGACTGAGATGTAAGATTAGGGATGATTGCAAAAATGAAACAGCAGTCATGGTGCAAGGAAAATCTAATGGCAACTGAAGTTTTATGTATCCAGAATGTTAGGCCTCAAGATGGCAGAGAAATCCCTGAGTTTCATGCTTTAAATCACACAACTAAAAGTGAAATTGACTGGAAAATCATTCAAAGCTGTGATTATAAAATGATACTACTATCATCTACTCTGTTCCATCAGTTATTGAAGTTTCTACTTTTCTACATCAAAATCACAGCCAGTGGACAATTTCTTGTGATAGATATACAAAACATTCCAAATAAAATATCTATGATCCAAGGTTCCAAACTGAATGTCCTAGGCAGACACTGACAAATTTGCAAAAGGCATTAAATACAAAGGACAGCTGACATTTTCTATTCAAAAAAAAGAGCAGATATGATAAGAGGTGACCTGAGCTTTTAATTTGATTAGTAAATTATCAACTGCAGAGTTTGTGTAGGATGTGAGCAAAATGGATGCGCCTCTCATCAACATAGCCTTGACAGCATGTACCAAGGTAGATGTCTTCCCAGTTCCAGGCATCCCTAGTATTAGAGCATAATCCTTAGCTGTAAGAATCTGGACAATATGTTTATGGATTAATAAAAAATAAAATTCCAGAATTATACCAATAAAAACATAACACAATTTCCGCAATTCAAGTGACGAAATCAGGATAGCAACTAATATTAACGACATAAATAACTACATTAAGCAGCTATATGCTTTTGTTTGTGTGGGTAACGAACCTTCAGAATTGCCCGACGCTGATCACCATTTAAACTCTTCACCGACCATATGTAAGTTATGGCTGGATCTTGGCTAAATATACATCCACTGTCAAATCGAGGAGCCTAAAAGTATGCACATGTTTAGACCAGGAAAAGACTAATATAGGGAAAACAAAGAGCAATAAGATTTGACCAGGAAAAAAAAAACTGCAATTCAGACACAATACAAAGCATCTGGCATTCACCTCAAGATCAACAATCATCTTCCTAAGGTGAGAACTTTGTTCACTTTGCAGAAACAGTTGTGCAAGGTTGAACCTTCAGCAAAGAAAACAAGTATATATTGAGCTAGGTATAATGTACCAATCTGATAACAGTTCTGATGCTAAAGGTGAAATGAAAATTTCTGTGTTAAGATAAAGACAGAAATTACCGCATAATTGAAAAAGAAGTCATAAATTCGTCCTTGTCAATCTGCCAAACCTCCCTAAAGAGATCATTTACTTCTGACGAAGAATTGCTGCCAGGAAGTCTTAAGCACTTAGAAAAGGAAACCTACGAGCATTGGCAAAAGAAGTATCAGCTTTAAAGTAACTCTTGTGAATATGACAGTTTAACAACAGCCAATGCTGCTACTTTCCTAAGCAATAATATGTCATCTCTGTAAAGCAGGGTAAATGATAATAAACCAGTTTTTCAGTTAACTTACTTGGCAATGTTTCATGCAATGAGTAAAGCAAAAAATACTGTGCTTACAGAAACATGGGACCGACTGATATCTGTTATGAATCCACTTGCAACAGTTTGATGGCCAAATTTGGTGCTAAGAATCTACACATGGATAACAGCAAATCAATTAATTGCAAATAAAACAAGTAAATATGACAATCTTCTGTAACAACTGTTTAATAAAATGGAACATTTCACAGATGCATCAGTAGCTCATAAATTGTCAATTTCAAGCTCTCAAGCATATGCAGTTCATCCATGGAAAAGAAAGTGGGCTCCAAGCAATCAAGAAAAAAGGGAAAGAAGAAATTAACTACATCTGAAATTTACTTCCTGGAATAAGGTTGACAAATACTACAAAAGTTTGATATTCTGCTAATCACAGAGAATATGTGAGTACTTGAAACAACAGCAAGAGGTTAAATGTTGGACCACCAGGGACTAAACATATAGGAATTAATATTGTTCAGGAATCACTGGGACCAAAGCAACTTAAATGGAAAAACCAAGTTTTGAACATTTGAAGCATAATCAGTAAAAGATGGCTTGGTAACGAGAATGTTTGAGGCTTTGATAGAAGAAAAACAGCCCGATACGAACAGCAATAAGGTCTAAGACTCGAACTCTTTAAAATATAATCTTGCAGTTGGTGCATAAAAGAAAGCCAAGCTTTCGTGCAAACGATTTCTACAATAGTAATAAAAAAATACAGCACCAAAAGGAAAAAAATCCCAAAAAAGGATTCATGGATTCCCCAATTGCAGGCTTTGCATATCATAAAGGAAAAGGAAAGTAAAGAAACCAGACAGATAGAAAAGATGAAAGAGAATATAAATCTTCAATGCAATATAGAAATTACTAAGCACAGTATCCTATGCATGATCTTTTGCAACAGAACAAACATCATCCACTATAAAGTACAGATCCACGTAAATGATGATTGTGCCTCTTAAGTTGCAAAAGCAATATAAATCCAATCATTCAAATGACACATTAGGATAGCTAATGGCCATAACAATATGTCAGAGATAAAGATACAAATATCTTGTAACTCTATAAAAGCATGGAGGAAAAGAAGAAGAAGAAGCAAACGGTACGGAGATGTGAAAATAACATAAACATGCTTAAAAGATAGAGATATTCTAGAGAAGAATCTTAAAAGCAGAAAGATGCAAACCGTACAGAGATGTGAAAATGAACATAAACATGCTTCAGAGATAGAGATATTCTAGAAAAAAATCTTTAAAGCAGCAAATGCATGACACTTACAACAAGGCACTTCTCTCAAATTATTTTAAAATTTAGACCTACTCTAGGATATTTCAACAACTGCATTACCGTTGGCCTTGAAGCCAAATGGCACCTGGGATTGCGTATAAACCAAGGGGATGCCAGTTCAACCCCCTCCCCACTACCGCTGATAAAAAAAAAATGAAAAATAATAATAATTGCATTATGCACTACATATTTGTGTAGAATTACTGTACCACATAGTCTCCACTTTTAAGTGTATAATCCAAATCTTCTGCTGAAGAAGAAAAACTCAAAGATTCTCCACCAGACGCATGCACATCATGACAAGGTAATTTTTTATGGACAAAACGGTAAATGAATCGGTTGTCTTTGAGAGATTTCTGATATGGAAGTCCGTCTGAAGTATCAAGAACAATAGAAGAAACGCAACTAGTGGAGTGATCACTCTTCAAACTATGTGAACGCCATATTCTGTTTTTTACAAGCTGCAATGGTTGACAAAAAGAAAAGGGGTACATCATTGTACTAGTGCTAAATTTTTGGGCCTTACTACATACCTTCTGAAAAATAATTTTCACCTGTGTCTCTTTAGCCTCTAAGTCAATCAACTGGTCCCAACGTCGAAGGAAAATGTAATGAGCAGTTGTCAGATGGTGAACATGTGAATCAAACAGATCACCCAGTCCACTGCTCTCTTTGCTTCCACCATGCACCTGCAGCATTTGGGATGATGGCCAATGAAATTTTCCTACTAACTACACAACAATTTGTATTCCTTAAGCTCAAGGATCAAAACATTACCTTGTGATAGATTGTACAAACATCAAGATGGCGACAGCTTCTGCACATATTTAGGCTCTAAAATGGAAAAATTAAGAAATTAAATGAATTTTCTACAAGCACATCATTCTAATAGTTCAACAGCAGTCATACCCGAAGCATCGGAGGCAATTGTTGAGTTCTTGATGCCTTAAGGATGTCATTTGCGAGCTCATTTCGACGCATGATTAACCCAACCACATCAGACCTTTGAACCCTGATTCCCTTCATGAATGGTTAAGTCATAAACACTAAATCATCTTAAAATAGGCAGAGTACTAGTTGTCAGAGATATAGGCGAATCATATTCAAATATACAGAGAACTAGGTGTCAGGGATGTATGTGATCATACCTGTGTCTGATCTGACTGGAGGTAGTACAGAAGACCAAAATCAATATGTTTCAGATACCTGAAAACATGACAAGTGAAAGGAAAATAAAGAATGATCTCTCAGTTATTCTCCAAAGTAGATCCCTACACCACCACCACCTTTCTTCCAAGAAAGAAGGTACCATACACACCTCTCAGACATAAGAAGAGTGTACAAAATCACTTGGGCTACATGTTCCATGGATGACTGCATAGAAGACATTTATAAGCCAAAAGGAAAATACATCAGAGATAGAATTCATTGCAAAGTTTCTCAAATATTCTAAGAATCCTTAGCGTGCACTTTTCAGCAAAGACCAAATACTTGCCTGCCCATTGGAAACTTTCCCAGTTTTAAACTCTAGGGGTACAATCTTCTCATCTGCTTTATTTCTGCCTGACTCTACTTTAACACAGACAGAAGCATCAATCATTCCTTTCAATCCATATTTTGGAGCCCATGCCATCTCCTCGATATCAATCACCTGCATTTAACATGGATCATTCTTAAGAACCAGGTGGTATTGTTACAGTACACTAACAAATTCGAGGCTAATGCTACAGTTTTATGACAGGTAAGTGAAAAATAAACTTATGATATACTTTAGTAACAACAAAACAATTGCCAGTCGTGGGCATGTCCTGAATCAATGCAGACTACACAAGTACAGAAAATATCTTTTTACAAATGAGGATCTTTTGCATGGTTCATGTAAGCATTCATATGAAAAACCAAAATACCTATGTACAAATATTTGTGCCATAAGTGGCAGCAAAGCCAATTGGCACAGGACAGTAAGCAATTTAAGCAAGAATAAGCAAAATGCTAACCTCAGATATTCTTAGCTTTTTCAATCCATCATCAGAACCAAAATCAATAATGGGGGCTTTTGAATCCTGCATACAACTTATGAATAATCAGCCTTGAGAATAGATGGTCTGCATAATTTCATATAACATGGACAGAAACTCAATTTTTTGCATCATGGAGATTGTTTTTATTGTCTGACATGAAGACAAGGTCCCTATGGCACTAAGCTCAGTAGAGAATCGTAATATTTGATGAACACATACAGCACTTCACACGGGAGGCGAAAGAAACTAATAGAAGACAGTAATATATACAGCATAAAAAATAACTTGGGTAAAATCTGAGGATGCAGAGTAGAACAGATATGTCAAATCAATTTTAATTTTTTATTTTTTAAGTAATGAGAATGGCAATTTCTGATCCATGAAGAGCAATTTCTGATCCATGAAGAGATCTCTGGATAGTAGAGAAATCAGAATTTATTATATATTGTATCCAAATTCAGAATTTATTATATATTGTATCCAAATTTCTGATCCATGAAGAGCAATTTCTGATCCATGAAGAGATCTCTGGATAGTCGAGAAATCAGAATTTATTATATATTGTATCCAAATTTTATCTCTCCGTCATGAACTACTGACTTTTAACTGTCTTTCAAATTTCTAGGCAGAAAAACAATAAAAAATTAGTAGTTCATAATAAATAGAAATGGATCGAATACAACCTACAAGAAACTCAAAACTGATGAATGTCAAGATTAACAGTGCAAAAAGGCAAGTTCATGCAAGGATTCCCCAGCTAAACAGATGGAACCAAAAAGTATCTGCTATGCCACAATGATACTGTTAATCAAATAAAGCCTACCTGTGAATCTTTGAACAGGTTGATCCAATTTATTAGTTTAGGAATTGCCTCGACCAAGGTATTGAAGATATCATTTTCATTGACTGCAAAATTCCAGATAATGATCAACAAGGTTCAACCTTCATATTATAATGACAATAATAAGAGAATTCTAGCATGATATGGCACACTGAACTATAATAAGAGCATTTGACTTGACAAGTTCAATAACTTGATGAACTTATATAAATTTGGCATTAACATAAATGCCACCTCCACAAGCATACAAGCTTTCAGTATTTTTCTGGAGTACCATCCTCGCATATTTCTCCAAGAAGTTAATGGTAGGATTATCTTGCATGAGTCCAGCCTGGAAAAGGAAAGAGATATTGGACATAATGAAAATGCATCACATAGAGGCTTGCTCAGGAATACAAGTAAACCTGAAAGAAAAAATCCCAACTCTTATATGGAAATGTTATAACATGAAACCTGAAAAATTTGGTGCAGCAAGGTACCAATTAATGCAGCAGTCGAATACTCGCTGCATTTTAGTCTCTCATCCAAGACGGTTCGACGTGGACAATTGAAACTAGCAGCAACCTGAAAGTGTTCTTATCCATTAGGAAAATTTACTGTGAAATAACAGAACAAACATAAATGACAGACATCTCTGCAAATATCGCAGTTTACCATTAGAGGAAACTGCAATAGGACATCAATAAAAATATGTAATTTTCAAATTCTGATGTGAGGAATTACCCGAGTTCCAGAGACTAGAATATCAGGATGAACAATTAAAAGATTATTGTCACTATTCACATCACACTTTCCTTGGTCATCAAATTCACCAATCACATTTACGGTATCTCCAGGTGCAATGACACTATAGAACCTGAAAAAAATTATAGCAACACTTAGCCTATTTATAGTGCAATCAAGAAACCAATACAACAAGCAGTTAGAATTCATATCTCAAATTAGCCAGCATGATGTCAAAAGCAGCAAAAAGCCAGCACCAAAAGATGAAGATGTGATGTTCTACTTCTTTTTTTCTTTGGGGTGTTTGGGGGGTGTGGGTGTGTGGGTGTGTGTGTGTGTGTGTGTGGAAGATATCATGTTCTCAGGACAGCATTAACAAACCACTAAAACTACTTGCTAAAGAGAAACTGAAATAACAGAGAACTTTGTATTTCATTAATTTTAATATCCAACCTCAAGTCAGGAACTAGTCTATAGTCTTCCATAAAGGTTTAGTTGAGTTGTACATTTTACTAATTTAAGTGACCACCATTCAAAATATTAAATGACCACAAACCCTAATCCATCAGCATCCAAGCAACCACAGGGAAAACCTCAGATATATGAGTTTTAGGCTTGCTCTTGTTGAGTATGATTTGACAATGGTTATCATGCTTTTGAAACACAGTATCAATGAGGTTCGTCCCAACTAGAATTTAGTCAACATTTGTAAGGAGTTACTAATTGCACTTGGCTTGGTAGAGTTTGGCACTCTTGAAATCAGCTAAGCAGACCAGATTGCACCTGTAGTCACGATTTGGGTCGAGGTTTACATTTGTTATTAGCCTGTGATGGTTCTGGAGAAGAGGACTTAGGTCTCCATTTCCCCAGGAAACAAACAAAGAAAAAAACTTACCACTCTTCCCACAAATAAACAGCTCGCTCTTCCCCACTTTGCTCATTCAACAACCGAAGAACCTGAAAGGAAATTGATTACCTTAAGTACCTTATCATATATTTGGAAGCAGTAGTAATTCTGACTAGAGCTTACAAAGATACCTTATAAGGGCATTGAGCACCAGAGGAATCCACAGGCCTGTGCTTCTCAGACACCTAACACCGAGATGCATGGGGAGGTATCATCTAGAATTATTCAGTATTTTCCAATAAAGGGAAATCAAAATGAGGATACATGTGGAACAATAAGCAAAGCATACCTCCAATACAAGAAAATTATAATTTGACAAAGGCACAGCAACATGTTCTGGTGGATCTATTGCTGCTTCTTTTACAGGAGATTCAGCATTGCAGGGCATTTCATAACCATTTCCATCTCGAGTTTTGGATGAATGGACTGCACTAGGTTCTGAATCTTCAACAGAAATTGCATCTTCTACTTGATCCAAAAGCTCAAGCAATGCCTAAGAGGATAAAAAAATACAAACAGACATATGATCAGGACTAGATTATGTGAACCAGAACTACTTGAAGTCCCACGAATGGAAATAAGAGAAATGGTAATCCTAAACAAAACCTTTTTGTGTTGCCTTTGACCCAGTTGATCTAATGCTCCATTGCATTCAGCAACATCAGAAAGCTGCACTTAACATAAATCAGAAATAAAAAAGATCACACACCATCCTTTTAGTAAGTGAATCCTAGAACAGAATAGAGAGAAATAATGCAACTTTCATATGTCCTTCATCATTACCATAGAATCCAAACAGAAGCATGGAGAATTCTGTGCTTAATGCACGGTAAAAATATAAGACATTAGAGTTACCCTTTCATGACAATAAGATATGGATGGTGGAGTTCTGAAAGGACTTTGTTGACTAGCAAGAGAGCTATTGACATCAGTCAAATTCACATTCTGGCATGGGTTTATTCTCTTCAATCCAGCTCTACTTTCAGACATCAAAGACCTGCCAGTACCCTTCCTCGTAGGCGAAGGAAGCTGCTTATCAACCTTGACAGCAGTACCAGATGAAATCTGCCCAATTCATTGCCGTCATCAAAACACAACCAGACACACAAACACATACACACCGAAAATTTTAACAATTTAGCAGAAGTTAATGGATTGGAATTGAAAAACATGCCTCGTCATTTAAAGAGGAACAAGAGCGAATGCTGAAAGAATTAAGCTTGGAAGAATCAGCTAAGAGTTGAATGAGTTGGGGCATTTGCTTGGAGACAGCTTGAAGTCTTTCATTAACCGGAGATATCTTCCATGTGACTTCATCGCCGCCATCATCCTGGCTCTGCTTTATCAACTGTTTCCACAATATATTAAAATAAATTACCTAATTGAATATTAATTAATTAATTATTTGGAGTAAAATTGAGAAAATCATATAGTACCATTCCAGGAGAGAACTTGAAGCGTTGGAGAGATACAGACTTGGTAATTTCAGGTGAGACATCCGTCACGCTATCGTCGGCATCGGGGTGGTGAGAATTGGATGGTGGCGCAATTTTAGGGTTAGGAGAATGGGGTAAAATTCTAGGGTTTTGAGAGTGGGTTTGGGGAATTGGAGGAGTGGGTGATGGGTGGGGATTTTGAGAGGGGGAAAGTGCGTTTTGGGTGTGGAGACTGAAGAAATGTTGGATTCCAAACTTAGAAGGTTGTTGCTGTTGCTGTGAGGTTTCATGTTTTTTCTTCGCTGTTGATGTTGTTGAAGAAGAAGAAGACTTGGATTTCTTCTTTGGAGGCATTTCCTTCTCCCAATTCACAGCTCAGAAGGAATGCTGCAAAGTCAATAGGTATTTAGATTTAGTTCGCTTGCCACTGATTTGGTGCTCTGCGATTTCCCGCCCGAACTCAAAGGCGGCTATTTTTCGAAGGAAATCCCTCCTTCTTGCCTTTTTCATTTCATCCGACACCGTTTAACCTAACCTCCCCTCAATGCTGATATTTCTTATTCATAATTAACAATAATATATCTAGAACTCCATAAAAAAATCAAGAGTTAATTAATCCATCTTCATGATTTCCTTTTTAAGCAAACTTGTTTTTTTATTTTTTTAGCACATCCTGGAGTTTGCAATTCTAAATTTTGTCTAATGGCATATATGTTGAAATCAAATTTCATTAAACTAGAATTGAGTTATTTTTTATAGTTGTTAAAGACAAATTTAAAATTTTTCAGAATAACTAGGTAAGTTAAGTGGGTTATTCCCTACATTATTATCCAACAAAATCTGAATTTTAGGAGAAGTCACGTGTGGATTTAAGATGCATAGATCTAGAGATTTTGGGATAGAAATTATTTGCTTAATATCAATCGGAGAATGATTTAGTAATGATCGAAAGTACATTTTGCCTTCGAAATTAGACAATAAAAATAAAAACAAACCATTCACGTTTGGGGGGGGGGGGGGGGGCGGGCGGGGGTTGAATTAGCCCAACACATTTTGGGCTTAGACCTTAGACAGTATAGACGTGGTCCAATGGACCCTGCTGTTTGGGTCTTGCATTGCTCTGCAGTCTTCAATAATCAATGCCAATAAACTCATCTGTGGCCGGCAAAGTTAAAATCAAATTGGTTTTGGGTTGTTGTTAAAAAAAAATAAAAAAACGGTTGCGTCAGTTAGGTTTTTTTTTTTTTTTTTTAAGTATGCCTTCATCATTAAGGACTTTGTAAAAATAAAAATAAAAAATAATGAGTTAGATAGTAATTTATAAGGCAATCCAACTTCCAGATTCGAATTCTTATTAATTAAATTAACTATTTAATGTATTATAATATTTACTCTAATAATATTTTTCTGTATTTTCTCTAATATGAAATTAAATTAAATTAATTAATATCAGTTTGCAAACTCCCACTAAAGCCTGTAATCTGTTCATACAAATTGAAATGTGAATTGCAAGGCTAGCTATTAATAATTACTCTAACTCTAGACTAAAAATCTATGTTTTTCAAACCTTATTACAATCAAAATATACGTTTATACAATTAATTATGAAATCAAACAATAGGTAAACCATTAGAGTAGGATTGCAATCTTAACAACTTGCAATAAACTTAAAAGAAAACTTATGTTAGTTGATGAAAATTTCCACTTATAAATTGATACTCTTTTTTCATATTTGATATTCGCACGGAGAATTTAATTTTTGAATATTACAAACACATGTTACAATTATAAGATGCTGTCAAGAAACCAAGCTCTTGGCTTACTTTGATAATCATCTATTTTTTACAATCTACAAGCTACTGTTTAACAAGTTTAAAAAAGTTTAGAACTTGTGAAAATGCTCTTAAAGCTTCTTTGTTATTACAAGCATTGTTAAGTTTAATTGTTGTGTTGCTGTTTTCTGCTATTCTCTTCATGCAATTGTATATATATTCATTTGGTTCTTTCATGATTTTTCTTTTATAATGTTCCACGTTGGTTTATAACTATCCATATTATCTTGCAATACTCTATGTTGTCTTGTAACAGCTCCATTAATCATGCTCCACCAATGCCAACCCCAACTTTTTGTTATTTTCACATTCTATTAGCATCAACTCTTTGTTGGCTGTTAAAAAAGATTTTTTTGCATGCTTATTTCATCTACTCATCACAACTTCAAGAGTATGCGATCTATAAACTTTTCATCCAAAAAAATGTTAATTCTTCAATTATTCAAGATGTCTTATTTACTGGGTGGTTTGCAAGCCTAAACTAAATTTTAGTTGTAACAGCGTCTTAATAATACTACTCGTTTTTTTCTTTAACTGCAAGACAGCTGTCGTGGTTGCTTAACAGCCATTCACTGCATTTTGAAAAAAGATTAAGACCGAAGTCTAGAATATCAACTCGATATTTCACCATTATAAAACATAAAAAAGGAGGTTTTATCGGCATGGCATTACTTGTTTTATTATATTAAATACCAAATTATCCTTAAAATTCAAAACTTAAGCAATTAAATTAATATCGTATATAAGATGGACAGCAGCATCAAACATAAAACAAATATATTTCTTTTTTAACCCTCTCCCCTCTTTGTCCCTCTGCTCTCCGCTGCCACTCTTCGGCTCAACGGTTGCCTGAACAACACCCGCCTTGAACGTCCTTTTCTTTGTGCATCTTCGTCCATTTGCAAATCTGAGACAAACTTCCTTTATTGCGTCGACAACAATAAAGCATCTCACGCCAAAATAAAAGTGTTATAATTACTTTGACAATTGGGCGGATGTGCGACTTGGATTGGGTGCGACTGATGTTTGTGACGAGGTGTTGACAGTGATTGGTCTTTAGATTTGGGTTTTTAGGTGGTGATTTATGATTTGAGATCTCAGTTGTTGTAGATAGTGTTAATGTTTTCAAATTTGAATTTCCTTTTGTAATCAAATGTGCCGCCCTAAAAACCTGATTGGGATCATATTTAATAGGTTTTGGATATCGTGTTTGATTGAAATATTGCAAAAATCTCTAATCCAAAAGAAAATAGTTGTTGCGATCTTGATGGTCTAAGGTGGTGCCGTGGTTTGGAAAAGGGATTTTGCCCATTATATGATCTTGTCTTTTTTTTTTCCACCTCCGTATCGATCAAGTCTTTCTACATTTCAATTTGGTTGGTTACCATTCATGCTGTTAATTTGTGAACTGATATGGCATGCTACGCTCATGAATACGTGGCATATCATGCTTTGAATCTGAAAAAAAAAAAAAAAAAAAGAACGTAATCAAAATAATTCATAAAATAGACATAAAACAAACAATTCAAATAGTATAAAAATCAAATTATTTTTTTCCCTGTTATTATTTTTTCAAAATCTCATCTTGAATGACACAAAATATATCATATGTGAAATTTCATCACAATAAATCATAAATTGTTTTTTTAGAACAAAATTACTATAATAATTTAAAATAATAAAATACATATAAAACAAACCTTATATACAACTAAAAAAAAAATGTTAGAGTACCAACATGTTTGTCAAAATTACAATGAAAACAACAATGATGGTGACTAGTAACTAATTATTTTTAACCAAAAAGAAAATATGGTGCAATCCCTAATTTATTATATGGAGCAATCCTATTTTTCACTTTAAATTGGTCAAACATTTAAAATTTCTTACTTTTTTGTGTAGAATTAGACACGTTAACTAGAGATTTGTGCCTAATCAATATTTCAAACCACTATATTTTTGCTTTAATTGCATGTTAAGTTTTTTCTTTTTTGTACATGTTATTTTAACCTATTATGACATTAAAAAAAAAAATCACAATTTTACTCCGATATGATGTCATATATGATACATTTCGTTCATTCTATATGAGGTTTTGAAAAAATAATAACATTAATAGTAAAAAAAATAATAATTTGGTCTCTATATTTTTTAATTATTTTGATTGAGTTATTTTATTAGGATTTTACGTATGAAATATGTCATGTATTCAAAAGTATAATGATACTGTCACAAGCTAACAACATTATAACGGAAGGATGATAACAAAACACACACAAAAATTAAAAAATAGAGAGACTCGATTAATATAAAAAAAAATTACAGAATTTAAATTAAAATAGTTAAAAAAGTACATGGACCACGTATAGCCAAAACTCGTTTAAAAAACTAATAACAAAACAATTAAAATGATGGGATTGCTATGGTTACTTTAAGGTATCATGATCATAGTGGATTCAAGTTTACGAAACAATAAGATGACACTTACAATGTAGTAAATATAAATACTTATTAGTTCGTAATCACTTAAAATTAGTTTTTTTACGATTTAAAAAATATTTTTCTATTTGCTAAGTTAACAATAAATTTTTTATTTAATCATACTTAATTTTTTATAACTATAATAATTATTGAGCAATTAAATAAATTATGAAAAAGATAAAATAATTTTTTATGATTTATTAAGTTAATTTATTTATCAATTTGTAATCACTCACTTATTTCGATGTGAATAATGATAATTTTTCTTTCAAAGGCGATGAAATTATTAATAAATAGCATAATTGATAGAAACTTAGTTAAATTATTGAAGGAAAAGATAAATTATTATAATATAATAAATAAAAATAATTAGTACTTCGTAATTTGAAGATACTGTAATTATGATACCACCAAATAACTATAAAAATTGCCAAATGACGGATCCTACTGTAGTTTTAGTCATAAAATTATTATTAACTTTTGAGATGAGATGACAATTTAGGTATTTAAAAATCGAAAATGTTGTGCCAATAGATAGAAAGGGCCTGCCAATAGCCTCTCCGAAAAAAAAAAAAAATCTATAATTGTAAGTTCTTACTTTTAGGCGCAAAATTGTAAGGTAGAACTTTTGCCACTGATATTCAAAAGAATTTAATGATACTTAAATTCGATCGAAGAAACCTTAAAAATCCGGGAAAAAATTAAATAAAAAACTAAAACCTCCTACATTAATATGTCTCTGCGGAGTCTGAAGTTTGTCAGGAAAATTATGAGCCCACGTCCAGTTAATTTTTCGAGTATTTAATTAAGCAGGGGAAGGTGCCAGACCATCTGCCGGAAAATGCGGCGCCACATTTACGGGTTCCTTCTTGTGAAATAATTAGAACAAAATAAAATAAAAACATGGCACGCATCTCTCCTCAGTGCCTTTTTTTATTTTATTGGAAGGCTATAAGATAATTTTTAAAATAACTTGCAAGTAAATTGAAATTAATTTTACTTTTTTTTTGGCAATCTTAAAGATTAAATTTATATATCGGATTAGTGTATTTAGCAATTGTTGATTTTAACATTTGAATTTTATATTTAAAAAGTTTTTAAAAAATATATATAATTCCTTGAACAACGAGACCAAACTTTTTTTTTCATTTTTCTTTTTCATTTTAAATCATATCAATTACGTTCAATCTCAATCAATACGAAAACATAAGTTTTTATTACCATGTTACATTCTTGACAACATATCAAAAAATATATGCACGAGTCAAACATTAATGGTGCATCGGATGGTTTGTAATGATTAAAGACACAATAGTAAGGATTTTTTGTAGCGAGCTTCTCTCCGTCGAGATAACGTGGCTACACCAACGACCCTCAACCCACTAAAAAAACTCAACTTCTAAATCGATTTTTAAATAACTATCCTCCCAATGATGTTCGAAATCTCGATAATCTCTCGGATTATATACATCATTATTGGCTAAACCATCTTTTTTTAGAAAAATTATGCTCGAGAAAAACAAAAGGAAGAAGTTTATGCAATTAAGATTCGACAACCGGTTGATCTAATTGCTTTAGGTATTGTGCACGCTTCTTTTAGAGATGACAACCCACAACTCCCCAATTTCATTGCCGACCCACGCTTTCTCTTTCTACTTTGGAATCTCCATGGCCTCAATTGGTTATCATCAAATTATTAGGTAAATCTATTTCATTTTGATTGTTGCACTCTAAGATTGAAATGTTATGCAAATCAAATGGTGGTTTCGATGTCTTAGATTTAGGCTATGATTTTTTTCTAGTCAAGCTTGATAACAAATATGACTTTAAAAGGGTTATTGGAGAGGGACCGTAGATGATTCTTAATCAATACCTTTCGGTGAAACCATGGAACCCAAACTTTATCGTCTCAAAAAGAACTATTGATTTAACTCTAGATTGGGTTAGAATTCCCAATATTTTAGTCCAATACTATGATAAAGATCTTCTAATGGCCTTAGTTTCGAGAATTGGAATTCCTATCAAAATTGACAACAATACTACCCCGCAAATCGGGGTTTGCAAGAATACGTGTTAAAATTGAATTGGTATCTCTAATAATTGGTTAGTAAGAGCTGGATGGAAAAATTTATAATGTGGTGTATAAAAGTCTTAATACTATACGTTTCCAACGTGAGAGATATGGCCACAGAGACACCGAATGCTCATTACTTCAACCTCCTCCAAGCTCGACTCCCCTTAATCATGGTAGCCATGGAAACAATAAAGAACACACGAGTTAAGGAAAATATGATGTCTAAAGAAAAGAAACTGGTAGGAATTTGGGAGAGAATTGAGGATTTGATCAATGGATGATTGTGGAAAAAAGATTGAGGAGGAATATAAGGTCTAAAAATTAACTCGATGGAGGAAAATATGCTTAACTTAATTTCAACAATAAATTTTCTACCTTAAATGCTTTGGAAGGAGACCAACTGGACCCAAGTTCGTCTAATTCTACAACCCACACATTGGGAGACCATATTTTAAGGTAGGTGTTGGACGATCCTTGGTTGCTCAAACTAGGGCCAAAGGAAAAGCTAAGGAGGCCGGCACCAAGCTAAAGCAAACGTGACCCAAACAACCCACGGATGCACCCACTACTCGTTAGCCCATAGCCCAAGCTCACCTAATATATTCTTTAAGTAGCCCAACCCGAGCTACCCCAAGCCGCAAGACACAAAGTTAGCATATCTCGCTTTAAAGAGAATCAACCCTCACATGTAAAAATTCAAATTGTAAATTCAATAAGAGATCCCTCTCGTCCTTGCCATAGCATACCATTTTCGCACTCGTTTTTACTACAAAAAAAATGGTGCCAAAGTTAGTTCCTTCCAAATCCAAGGTGTGGTCGAGTCTTCCTTCCACTTCGGACACTTGGTTCCACCCGATCCGGACCCTAGCAAGCTTTCATCTCCACACTCCTCTGTCATTGATGAGGTTACTCAAGAAATAGTGTTCATGGACAATAAGTCCAACCGTGAAGCTAAGCGAGTAGGAAATGAAGGAGGAGGTTAGCCTAGAAGTAAAAATTAAAATGTCCAACTAGTGTTTCTCCATTTACTTTATTTATTATTTTTTATGATTAATAAACTAAATATTGTAACTTGGAATTGTCGAAGAGCTGGTAAATTGGAGTTTTAATCTTATCTAAAGGAACTCATTAAAATGCATAAGCTTGATATAGTTGTTATTATTGAGCCTCAAATTTTGGGTGTTAGAGCTTCGGAGGTCTCTAATGCCTTAGGATTTTACGAGTGTTATAAGGGTGAAGGTCGTTGATTTCTCAAGAGGCATTTGGTGTTTGTGGAGTAGTAAAATTGTATAAATCCAAGCGAGTGTAAATTCACCAATAGCATATCTAATTTTTGGTTTCGGA